GCAAGAAAAGTGTTCGCACTAAATATTCATGAAACTTCATTAATAAAAAGAAAAGTATAAAAAAATATATAAAAAATAATTAATTCAATTCAATTCAACTGAATACATTTAAAAAATCTTTTTAAAACATACAAAAAATAAAATTCTGATCACATATTAAATTAAAAAAAACCCTGCTTTGACAAGTTAAAAAGATATTCCATTTAAAACATTCCACTGTATGTTTCATAGCGACCTGGTACAATACTATATAAGGTGACATTAAAAACACCTAGCTTAGGGATGTACAATAGTCTCTAATGGATTGCCTCTGTATGTGTTACAGAGGATGTGTCTGTCTCACCTCTGCGGCTTATTTTCCGACCGCCACTCACAGATGCTTTCTTTGTGTCAAGCACTGAGTCCAGAAGCACTCCAATGCCTGGCGCTGCCTCCAGACGATTCTCAATGTGTCGCAACTGAGACAAGACCACAATTAGCCATTGAGTCAACAGATCTCTGCACTCATGGGGATAATGCTACAAATACTAAACCTACAGTGTATACCTCTGAATCTTACTTCCTGATTTCTTATAATTGGGCTTCTTCAGAACTATTATGTATGTAACAGATATCTGTTTTGGCATCATAAGTAGGCCAGAACCTGAAACATGTTAAAAAATACTCACGGCAGCTTTGGTTTGATTTAGACTATTCCAGGCATGAGATATCTCTGCTGAGAGATAAACATTAACATAAGTAATCACGCAAACATGCTCATGATGATGTTCGAAGTATAAGGTGACAGTTAGACAAACCTCTCCTGTTGTCTTGCCCAGCAAGGGCAGCCTGGGAAGAGACAGAGGCTGGCGGCCCCGCCTCACTTCGCAAGCGACTACACATCGCTATGCCAACCTGAGAGGAAAGGGGAAAAACAAGCAAACAATGTGAGAGAAGCAATTATCTTGTCAACATCTGCTGTCAAACATTGTTTTCTCAGGCAATGGCTTGCTTAGATTATGACCCTAAGTGGCTCTAAAGCACATGACTTCATTCACAGTACTCTTTGAGCAAAAGGAGGCTATAAATTTGGCCAAACCATAAGTTTAACTGATAGTTACGAAGATAGATTGATCAAAGCAAACGACTTATAGATTTAATGTCTCACCCACAGGCCTCAGTTGTTCCATCAAAGTGTGGGTTATAGCAATGGTGTACAATTTGTTTGATTGCCTGGAGCCCAGACATATGACATCTCAGAGCTTTTCAAGTCATTTGAATCACACTGTCTTCCTCTAAGCACTACCGTTATAACAAAGAGTCC